ATCTTTATAATTTTTTGCTACTTGTAAAAGGAAGTAAAGTAGACACTAAATCTGGTCCAGAGACTCACTACTGAGAAAGAAAGAGATTTTTACCTCCTTAAAATTTTTATATAAGTAAACTTATGTATGATTTATATAAACTTTGCTGTACATTTCCTCTTATACTACAGAAATTGAAAAAAAAAATATATAATATAAGTGCTCAAGAAAAACATTTTGTCACTTGTAGGTGGAAAATTAAAATACTATCTTTCAGACATGTTATCCTCTTGAAATTCTGCATGAAAAGAAGGTTGTATTAATCTAGGAAGAAGTAAGCGTGAGGAAAAAATATTTTGACCCCTTATGGATTTTTCATAGCTATGCTATGATTTTAGATTCTGCTCCTGTAACTTTGTACTTTTACTAACATTTTAATCAACAGCAGAATGGAACAATTATTTATTTATGATCAATATCCAGCACAACCCAGAGAACTGATGGCATGACACACAGAGTTCTGGGTCCTCTTGTGCCTTTTATTAGTATTGTGCCTACTAGTTTGTTGCTACTGACACACTAACTGATCTGCCAGGTACTGGCTTACTCTTGTTGCTAAAACCTTATACCTGGTGGTTTTTTTTTTTTTTTTTGTTTGTTTGTTTGTTTTGTTTTGTTTTGTTTTGTTTTTTGGTGTTGTTGTTTTTTTGTTTGTTTTTTTGTTTGTTTTTTGGGGTTTTTTTGTTGGTTTTTTTGTTGTTTTTTTTTTTTTTAGTCATGTCCTTTCACCTTTTTAATGAGCCTTTTTTTTATCACATTTGTACACTACTTACAGACACGCTGTGTCAACCAGTGAAGTCTTGTTTTAGCATGGCGGAGAGTATGGGAATCCCTCGGGTTTCAGAATGGTGGAGCAGAACTTTCTTCTTTTCTTCCCCTTTCTATCAAAGTCAAGAATCATATATTTAGAAGAGGAGAGGCAGAAAAGCCAAATGAGAAACTGGATGTTCTCCATTCTTGCTTTTCTACAAATTATTAATCTTGGGACATTTAAGCTCAGTGTCTTGTATGGGAAGCCTATTCCCACTTTACACTCTATTCCTTCTCCATATAAGGCTTCCTCAGGCAGCACCGTGATGTTCTGCTCAGTTGGCTTGATTTCAGTCAGGGTAGCCTTATATCAGATTTCTAGATTAAGTGAAGGCAGTATTTGGTACTACGAAGTAATTTTGGTGAGGTACTTCAGACAGATGTCTTTCCACATTTGTATGCTGGAGAATTACAGAATCACAAAATATTTTTAGTTGAAAGGGATCCACAGTGATCATCAAGTCCAACTCAGCCCTGCACAGGACACCCCCAAGAGTCACACCATGTGCCTGAGAGCATTGTCCAAATGCTTCTTGAACTCTGCAAGGCTTGGTGTTGTGACTACTTCTCTGGGGAGCCTGTTCCAGCACCCAGCCACCCTCTGCTTGAAGAACCTTTTTCTAATATCCAACCTAAACGTCCCCTGACACAACTTCAAGCCATTCCCTTGGGTTCTGTCTCTGGTCACCATAGAGAAGAGATCAGTGCCTGCCTCTCCTCTTGCCCTCACGAGGAAGTCGTAGACTTCCCAGTCCAAAGAATCTAATTGTCTTTCTATTGAAACTGTTTTGGCGTGCACTTTGTGCTGATGGCTGGCTAGCTAGCTAGTCTGGCAAATCTCAGATTTGGTTGAGATTACAGAAAGTAGAGCTTTAATTCCATTTGTCCAAATGAAAATGTTGACTTTGATGTTAGCATTAGACTTATGTTAATTGGGTATCGCTTGATGTTGCCAACTTTGTGTTCCAATGTTTATTTTTACCTTCTCTTTAATTCTGAATTACCAGACCTACGTTTTAAAACACAAGTAGATTTCTACTAGTTGGAGAGACACTAAAAATGTTAAATGTTAAATAAAGACAGTGTGAGGACAGCTGGCTTAAACTGAACACATGCATATGTAATCCTATGTCATATGACCCATGGTCATTCCATACCATATGACACCACACTCAGCAATAAAGACCACAAAGAAAGAAGAAAGAAGAGAGTTCATTTGACTTCCCAAGTGACCATTAGGTATTCTGAGGTCCTGACTTCTAGGAACTGGCTGGACACATGCGTGCTCATGGGAAGCAGTGAATTAATTCCTGTTGATTTGCTTACACATGCATCTTTTGCTTTCCTTGTTAAACTTTCATTATTTCAGTCCTCAAGACTTCTCACCTTCCTTTCATTTTCTCCACATCTTGTGGGAGAGGAGAGTGAGAGATGGCAAGGTGGATATTCAGCCAATGGCCAGATTCAACCCATTAGCCTAGCTCCAGAAACTCCTTTGCTCGTGCATATTTTCTCCAGCTACTGTATTCACAGAACCCTGTGACTGGAGGTCCTACTGCAGCTGACACTCAGAACTTGTCCACTCATGTGCATCAGGGTCCCTCACCAAGAAAACAAGTTAGAAGTGGAGTTTAATAAGAAGACAGGACAGACTGCATTGATCCCATGAAGACAAGTTTACTGACCTGCAAATTATTGTCATGTGACAAAACATTTCTCTCTTTCCATCCATTTATTTTCCAATGCTTATTCCTCCCCAGACTAACTAAATCAACCCCTTTTCCTACCTTTGTCTTCTCCTCTAAACATCACATAAGAAGTCCTGTGAGATCCCAAAATGCTCTTCCCCTGTAGTCCAGAATGTGACCCATACTTCTAGGCAGTGATTTCCCTCAGTCTGAATGGCTGTCTGTTCACATGTATTGATGGATTTCACAGCGGACACTGGGCTTGAGTGTCTTCTGAGGCAGCCCTGGGAAGAGCCCAGACAGGCTATCTGTTCCTCTGAGTCTTTAATTTGGATTTCCCACATCTGCCATTGAGCACTTGTGATCCTCTGTAGAAACAGGTTTTTTTGATTGGCTGATGGCTCCTGTGATGGGCCTGGGAGTAGCCTGGCAAAATATTTCACAGATCTCCACCTGTAATTGTCTCTCTCAGTGGGTGTACAGATGAGGTTTTATCACATAGCCTAACACATTCAATTGCAGCAAATGAATTCAGTCTTTTGGGGTTCCTTCCTTGTTATTGTCCCTAGGGCACTCTTTCTATTATAATACAATTAAGGAAGATGAGTTTCAGGGGTCTTTATCAACATCAAAGCCGAAAAAGAACTATTAGATTAAGTAACGCAGACCCTGCCCAAAGCAGCACCTGAGTGAATTGAAAACTACTGCCAATCCTCTTAACTAAATATGATCAATTGGAAAGGGAGTGTTCTACTGTCTCCGCTGGAATACATTTCCTCCTGGATTACTGTTCAATTAATTAACCAGCCAGATATTACTTACCCCTTGGGTTGTAAAATCTGTGTTTATTTTATTATTATTTTGCACTGAAATTTATTGTGCACGTAATATAATATATAGCATGTGTACAAGATCATTATGCATGCAGTTACATAATCCAATGTATGCAGTTACATAATCCATGTATTACAGACTCAAGCACACATAAAAATACAAGCGCTAAAATTTTTAAAATAATATCCCACAGATTTTCAGGAAGTTCTAGATAATGTTGGCTAGAGATGTAGGAAAGCATTTTATCTGAGAGGTTTTGATATTTTTTTTTAAAACAACTGTGACAATTATGGGAAAGGCAGATTTAGGCTGCACACACATAAACAGAAATCTCTCCTAGCAGTAAGAATAGTGAAGATGTAAATAGATCATCTAAACTCAGTGTCTGATCCACATCACTGGAAGTTTTGGGAACAGATTGATAAAAGCAACTGACCAGAACAACACTGGCACAGTTGCTACTGGCTTTGGACAGAAATAAGGCAGTCAACCTGTCAAGATCTATTCCTATCTTTTTGTCAGAAAATGGTATTTCTATGATCTTCACTGTTGTAACATCATTTCACCAAATAGTGACTTTAAGAAGATATTGGAAACTGACACCTTAAATTCTTTAAGAGGAAACAACTGGAATTCAGATAGATCTTGAGATTTATTTCTGTATGAGGTGGTAAATAAGCTAGATGGTCCTACAAGGAATTAATTTGCCTCAGAAATCTCAATTCATCAACTGAGTGTTTGTCCCCAAATGGAATTCCACAACGGAATTCAAATAATGAGAAAAACTAGATAATACTGTTGTGTAGATACATTTTCCTCTTTTTGTAGGATGCCTCTCCAAAGAACTAAGAGATCACAACTCCTACACCATCCTAATCTGATGATGTTTACACTCAATAATAGTAAGAGAAGAACCAAAATAACCTAAAAGACAATACTTCTACTCCCATGTTTAACTTTTCTGTTAGAACATTTCCTGATGATTAACACAGCTATTCTCAAGTTACAGTTTATAAATTTGTGAAAATGCCTCTGTTTGCTGTTGGGTCACCCTTTAGGTATATATTGCTGACACTGTTGGCAAGTCTGAAGGTGTGGAAGAGGACGTGTATGTATGTAGTGCTATTTATTAATATGAGTTAAATAGAACTTTCACAAATGTTAAATAGTTACCAAAATATATTGCTGTCTGAAAGTTAATATTAATACTGACGATTTTTATTTTTTCCCAAGAACAATAGAAACAGAATTGCATTTAGTAGACTAAATACAATTTCACTCAGGGAGGCTTAGTATAACAAGGACTGCAGCTGGGTATGGAGCTGTCATGCTGCTGTTACGCATACTGTGAAATCACTTCTCCTCTGTTGGTATTTTATCATCTACACACAAGGGAACAATAACAACCCTGGAGAACTTCTGTTTCTCTGTGGATGAACTGTTCCTGAAAACCAAGCTGACACTGAATCTTGGTGAAACATACAGATACCCCTTTGTAGGATTATTTTCTGAGTCCTGAATATAGGGAGACAGGTTTGGAAACAAAGCATCTAATTTCTACAAAGGAAGGGACTTCAATTAGAGATTCCCTCAAGATTTCCCTGTTGAGAATTTTTTGACTCACCTCTTGTTCTGAAAGGTGTTCCTTTGGCACTGGGTGTGGAACACAGATGTTCAGTTTAAGGATGGAGATTCTCCTTCAAGGCGCAATTGTGGACTTCTGCTTGTAGTTCAGCAACATCAGGAACCTTCACTGAACTTGGACCTCTGCAAGAAGAGAATAAAAGGCTAAATGAAATGTATGGGAAACTATACAAAGTAGAAATAGAGATAATATACAGTATACAGTACACAGTACATAGTATGTAATGTTTAATGAAATCTAAAATAATAATATGTAATACAAAATATACATGGAAATGAAGCATACCAGGAGAAAACCGAAATCACATCAATTAACAAGATCATCCTTTTCTTTTCTCTCCTCTCTTCTGTGGTTCCTGGTAGTGTCTGAAAATTAGGGCCATAATTTACCTACATTCCACAGAACATACCAAGTGATTAAGGAAAAAAAAACCAGCTTTGGGATTTGTGCTTTGTATGCATGGGAAATCCATAAATGAGGTGCTTCAGGCTGTGTTTGATTTTCTGGGCCTGCAAAAAAGTGTTTAGTCACTTGTGTTTGGCCAGTAGGGACTAGATTCATTCTGTCCAAATGCATCCTTATATATGCAGACAAGTGTGTGTCTATGGTAGGCCTTTATTCCTCCAGTGATTTTGTCTGATTTGTTTGAAGGCATGTACATCATTCATCCTACTTGTCCTTCCTGCTTTCAAAAAATGAATGTTTTAAAAAAATACAACCCCCCCAAAACCAGTACATTTAAATCAGCCCATCATTAAAAAAACATGACTTCTAATTAATTATTAATTATTGAGAGGAAAGACAACATGCAGTAGCCTCAGGCTTGACAAGCTGTCAAGGATGCCTGCCAAGGCTGCCAGGCTCACCAAGCTCCTGGGTCATCACCACATTAAACACAGAAAGTTAAATGACTTTTCCTGGAATCTGGAGGACAGCAATTGGACATAAAAGCTTTTTTTTTTGTTTCAACATTGGTATCCTGTATTGCTTCTTATTCTTTGCAAAAGATAGAAGACAATAGAAAATCTGTTAAGCAGACAACAGCACATAAATGGTGGAACAGCTAATAGATCCCTACAATGGCACATTGAGAAAACAGTTTGTAAAGCCAGTTATCACAAAGGTATAGACTTCTTCCTCATAAACGTTTTGTATAAATGTAAAAGATAAAGTGATTGAAGTCAAACAGGAATAGAAGTCACAGGGTGCAGAACAGCATGCAGAACTGTCATTACTTCAGTTTACTGTGAAACCTAATTTTATCTGGCTATCTACCATGCAAATAGGCTTTATTAACCACCTGAGCAAGGAAGAGGCCTGTATCATGGAAATCTTTGACCTATTGTAGTTTCAAGTAAACTGTCAAAATGATCTTAAAACATTGTGAATAGCCAGGGAGAGACTTTTCCTTAGAAATCATAGTAAAAGCAATCCTTGTGAAGAAAAATATATGTTCTGTGAATATCTTTGAAAAGAAAAGCGTAACAAAGGAGAAGGAAAAAACCATGATACTGCTCATGTTTAAAGACCCCTAGTGAAAAGAATTCAGTAAACTTTCTAAAAATGTATTGATCTTAGGGACTTGTCAGTCTAACCACTGAAAGATTATTGGTAGTAGAAGCAGGCAAATCTATTTGAATTTAAAAAGATTACTTAAACACACATGCTAAAACAATATTTTAATGTAACATGTTCTTAAGAAATTAGTGATAAAACATGCAGATATTTTGAAACTTTAGAATAACACTTGGAATTCTTGAAAACAAAATAGGTAAAAGTATTTTCTTACGACAGTCTTTAGAGGATCCTGCAATTTCTTTGGCAGACATCTCGGTCTTACAAACCCTTTCCTAAATGAAAAAGCAGAAAGTGACATGTTTTTTAACCTCTCTACCTAGAGGATTTTTGTTTTCAAAGAGTTTTAAAACCTGTTTCCAAAGTACAATGTCCATGTAAAACATTTTGTTGCGAAATTATGCTTAGTGATGGATTATTACACCAAAAAAATTTCCCTATGCAGGGGTCTAACATAAATGAAATCTCTGATGTTAATTTTAGTGGGATCATACCTTTAATTTCTCAAATTCTGAAAAAAAAATTGGAGGAATGTTGTAGTAGAAGTCAATTTTTCCCAATTTCATTGGTTTAGAAATTTCTACCTGTACCAAGGATGTATCTGAAAATAGAAAACCAACCAACCAAAACAAAACAAAAGAACATAACTAAATCTGGCAATAAACATGCCATATGTTTATTCTATGTGCAATGTTATAAAAAAGGTAAAGATGAACCACTCAATCAATCTCAGTAAAACCAATCACATACATCTAAAACTACTTTTAAGTTCATCAAACAACAAATGATCAAAGCAATACAAAAGAACATGCTATAAAAACTCTAGAAAAATAACATAAGGTTTATATTCTTCAGTGTACTTCAAGAGTAAAGAACAGGTTTTAATAGGGTCTATGCTAGTATTGAAATACAAAGAGGAAAAAATGAAACCAGCATGGACTGGTTTTTTGCCATTACAGATGAAGTATATGAATAATATGAATTATTATTAGACATGTTTTCTGTAGTGTATCACAGCATTTGTACACAGAATAGTCAATAAGATTCAGCAGTGCAACTAATTTTTATCCAAAAAGATTTTGCCATGCACAGTATTGTGTGGTATTCCCCCTGACCCTGTCATTTCCAAAATATATCACCATGTTTCAGTGCCCTCCTGAATAACATACACACTTCCATTGTTATCACCCAAGTGTCTGTAAGGTAGCGGATGGTCATTTCAAACTAAATAATGAATTTGAGTGGATTTGTATTTTGCCACTAAAGATTTATCATGGGGTGCACATGGTTTTTCCCAGTCTTTCTTGCTTTCCTGTCTTTCTTGGTTTTTAACCCCTCCCAGAGCTGTTTAGGCTGTGTCTATGAAACATGTGCAGGATTACTTTTTCTGGCTCTGTGGACGGTTGGCTTGAAAGACACTATGTCCTTACCAATAAACTCTTACATAACTGAACAAAGTGCCTGTATTCAAACTACATGCTGGGAATGATCCCACTTCCATGCAGACTCATGAGCTACAGCCGAGAAACTTTTGGCACAGGATAAAATCATGCCAGTAGCTACATTAAAAATGTAACAGTATAAACTTTTTCAGTACCTGGGAATGTTGCCTGGCATTGTTCAATTCTCTAGTATGATTATAACTTCAGAGTTTTCATAGGATATAATTAGAAAAGGCTAGGTTCTCAAAGGTGTTTGTGCATCTAGCTTCCATTTCTTTCAATGAATTTAGGCTCCAGTCTGCCTTTAGGAGGTGGGCCAAAGTGCACAGAATAAGTACATACACCTCTGCAAATTGAAGTAGATCCAAGAACAGTTTGGTCCAGCAGCTTCATGGAATTCTGAACAATGACATATGCACAACATCCACTGCTGAAATCAGCTATCAGTTATTTCTCACTCAGTTTGGTTTACATTTTATACAGCCTCCACTTGGTCAAATGAAAATATTACTGTGAAAATATCTCACCTCTCACTCTTGAAAGCTCATGTCAAACAAATTATGGTAACTTATGTCACTAACTAGAATGCTAGATTTATTTACCAATTTGAAAATGTTTAAAAGCACAATCCTTCCCTTTCAACCAATTTTAAGTATATAAAAATGGCATAGACATAAGCATAAATTATATGAGGGTAAACTATTTCTACCATGCACTGGCATTTGAGAGCAGCAGTAATGTAGAGGTCTGTGCTTTGAACCGCATAATGTGTACCCTGTTTTCTGTGTGGACAGTGGCGTCCTGAAAATCTCTCTCAACAAATTTCCACACTATCACTCTGTTGTGGCTGGCTGGACCTGCCAGCTGAGATTACTTCTCATATTCTGTCTTTGTCTCACCTTCTGGCTGTTGTTCCTCTCCCTAGGCATTTCTGGTTTGATTCTTTGTTTTATAAGAAGCTTTAGCACTGACTCTAGCACACTAAGCTACAAAAAAACCCCCTGTGTGCAGCATATGCTAAGGGTTTGAATAAAACCCACAAAAGCAGACTCAAATCCACAAAAAGGCTTCAATGTATGTGTGTCTGAAATTACTTACAAGATGACAATTAATGTCATGCATGCATAATATTTATTTGTTATTGTACTACATAGCATTCATACACATGCACAAATGCATTCTTAGACACATCCATAGCAAGCCACTCCCGGCATTTCTGATGTTGAAGAGACAGTCACTGGATAGATCATATGGACTCCAATGTGTTTCTCCCAGTGGATTTACTTTTACTTAGATGCCTTGATGTTGTTGCTGGCATTATTAATTCTGGACGTCACATAAACTCTCAGTATGAAAAGTTTAGCCAAACTGATAATAATTTTATCCCTTGAAAAGTATTTTGAGATGTGTGGATGAAAATTATGGTACTTTAAAACAGTTTGTCCCATCTGAAATCTGAGTGAATATTCAGATAAAATACACCTCACTGTGAACAAAAATGTGAGATGCAAATAAAGTTACACCACATTATTACCAAAGCATATTTATTTTTTATTAGTATTTCACTGAAAGTGAGAAAGGCTAATAAACTAAATAAGCCTAAGATGTGTGCAGAAAACATGATCAGTCATCAAATAAACCAAGCATTACTATGAGAAAAAAAAAATTTGAAGGCTTATATCCTGTTACTTTCCAGCTTTTAAAGTTTGTGTTGAAAGTCTTCTGTCATTAAAAGCATTTATTTAGGCCTTTCCTCCAACAGATGGTTCATTTCATAAAACCAGTAGGAACTTCAGGTAATTAAAAGAAGCTTCTGGGAATAAGTTCCAGTATTGGATCACTGATTAGTCAAATGCTAGGTCTCCCAAAGGCTCTGGTTTGCATCGCTCCGACTAGATCTCCCTGCTACACAGATCTGATCTTTATAGGGTTATTTATTGACACTGTATATATGAGTCAGGGTCATCTGGTTTTGAAGCAAGGGATTGAATTCTAGCCTTTTTTTTTTAATTTAGCTATATAAATATAAAAGAAAAACATTGTCAGATTTGCTTTAAATTGATAAGCCAATTAAAAACATTACTACAGACAATTTATAGACAAATACAGAAATATATGCACTCAAACATCTAGACAATCTTCTTGCACCACCCTTAAATTATGTGACCAGGACAAACGCTAATTCTTGAATGAGCAATATTAGTATCAATACTGCTGTCACATGTAAAGCATCATAAGTTCATGAGACAAATGTTGTCCCCACCAAGCCCCAAAACAAAACAAAAAAGGGAAAAAAAAAAAAGAAGAAAACTTTGAAAGCTTTGAGAGGACATGTAGTAAAAGAAAAATCTTAATTTTTCATGACTTCTTAAGAAAAGTGTCACATTTCTTTTCAAAGACCTTTCCTGAAGATTTTGTTGTTTTCACTTAGTGATTGTCTGGCTAATCCATTTACTCGTCTTATGTGCAGAGGGGGAGGATAAATTTCCTATTCTTTTATTTGGCTAATCTAATGAAGGATTCATCTCACTAAGTTTAGAGCATCTAAAAGTCATTAATTTTAGTCTACAGTCATCACACAGTTTCCTTCTAGAGTCAATGAAGAAGAATTGGCATTATCACAAAGTAATAAATCTGCTCTAACATCAGTGTCTAAAATAGTTGAAAGAATCACCCTCTGGAGATGCCTGCTTTTCTATAACATCTGTAAAGACACCTCCAGTAAGTCACTAACAATAGCCATCTAACTTTGAAAAGCTTACATTTAAATCTGACCAATTTCATCTCACCTGATTTTTCTTGTAACAAACCATGATTACTTGAACAGTATTTCCACTGGTGACTAGCATAAAGTGCTCTTTGTTTCAGCATCACAAATCATTCAGATTCCCATTCTACCATTCTGACCTACAAAGAATCATGCTTTATTTGTAGTGGTGAATGATACTTGGCATTGAGGAAGGGTGGAAGAGCTTGATGTGAGGTTACTAAGTTCTTGTAGATGAGGTTGAAGCATTTACCTGTCAAAAGGTCTTTTTCACTGTTCCACTGCACTTTAGTGATTGGTGAGTACCTGCATTTCCTGATTGCTTTTGATTCAGATTGTCAGACAGAGGATGATTTTTCCCTTTTTTTTTTCCCTGAAACTACTGATGGCAGGGTTTTTACAATGTTCTGCATGGCCTTTTTGCCCTTTGTTCAACTTCAGTTTTGTGAGTTCATTTCTGGCATCTCCAGATTGCATAGATGATACTATCTGTCCCATCTTAGACAAAGCACCCTAAATTCAGATTTTTTTCCAACATACTTCTCTTTGTGACACTCACAAAGTTTCTATAATACTGTTCTACATTTATAGCCTTTGGGACACTAGATTTAAACTCTGCCTCTGAGATTTTAGCTAGTAACACAAGCACTTTTTTCCCCTTTACAATGTGTAAGAAATTCCTGGCATCCACACATTGTTTTGATCACTGGAAATGAGAAAGTGAGGGTCTGCTTAGAAAAGTCCTTCCACATCTCTCATCCTTGTTCCACATGTAGCAAGCATATCTATTGCCTTCTCTGAACACTTTTTTCACCAGGCCAGAGATTATTTCTGTTTATCTCATCTCGCATGGTATCTTTCTTTGATCTATTAGCTACACCTAATACCTCAGGCAGTTTGCTTCACCTTTTCAGTCATATACATGGCTTGCAGTTCACACTCAAGTCCTTGTAAATTGCTTCTGACCTTGTTTATCAGCTTTATGGTAAATTGTTCTAAATTAGCTTGTGGTGAGTGCTAAATAGAGTTTTATATATTTACGTATTTGATACTGTGGAGTTTGTAT